AGTTTAATCTTTTGTATTTTAAGTACGTTTTTGGTTTTTTTTTTTGTAAGGGATGTTAACTGACATTTTGATCTCGCTTCCGCATTTGATATATTTAAATACTCATTTCATTTTAATATTTCCGGGGCCGTTACATCATCAATTAATACCTAGTCAATACTTAACTAAAATATAATGATACTAATTTTTATCACTTTCAAAATTACTAAAATTTAAAACACATTGTTTTAAATCCACAAAAAATTACATATGGTGCTAATTTTATTGTTTTAGACAAAAATTTCACGCAGCCTCATACAAATCTATACAAACATGTGTTGCAAATGAACATAGAACCGAGTAAATATTGTTTTAAAAGACCCTTCTCTTTTACACTTGGCTTAAATATGTAAATGTCTGTCTAATATGTTCTAACAAGTTTTGGTCTCCAAGTTAGGCAAACAAGACAACCTTTCTCTCCAATTATTGAATCCACAAATCTTCTTTTCAATCTTCCCTTTTTGGATACTTCAACAGCATCTCTTGGATCCAAACTCTTTATGGGAATCTGGGGGCTTCCTGTCTCTGTCACCTCCATGACTCGGTTTATCATCTCCAGGACTTCACTCATTTTGGGTCGAGATTTCACTTGTCGCACCAGACACTTGTTGGCTATGGCTGCAAGTTTCTGAGCAGCCTTAAGAGAGTACTTCCCTTCAAGCCTTGGATCCAAAATCAAACTGAACTTCTTCATATCAGAAAGGTGGGACCTCACCCATTCCAAAAGCTTTTGCTCATTTTTGGGACGGTTTCTATCAAGAGGACGCCTACCAGTAATCAGCTCGTAAAGGAAAACTCCGTAGCTCCAAACATCACTTTTTGAAGTGAGACGCCCAGTTTGAATGTATTCAGGAGCTGCATACCCAATGGTTCCTACAACCTGTCCAATTAATCATCATCAACTTGAAAATCTTATTCACTATGCTCTTCTCACCCTTGTTTAGTTCAATTCTCATTGCAGAAATTCGAAATCCTTCCAAAAAGAATTTATGCTGGGAGTAGAGGTAGTTCAAAAAAAGGAATTATGATGCAATTCTACCAAGCAAGACTTACTTATGTATGAGCTGAATTACTGCATGTCATGCAGAAACTACTGGATAATAACTAGAATATCTTGACATGATACGTAAACATCATTTAGTGTTCATGTAAACATACCGCAGTAGAGACATGACTTAATCCTTCCGAAGGCCCTAGCCTAGCCAATCCAAAGTCTGACAACTTTGCATTCCATTGGTTATCCAAGAGTATGTTTGAGGATTTAAAATCCCTAAAGATGATCTGTTACAATAACAGCATAAAGAAGGTAGGACTAGAATCAGACAAAATATTCTGCAATTTCAGAATAGAACAAGCAATCTGTAAAATGACCTATGGCACAACAGCTATATCAACAACAGATAAATATACTTTTGCCCAGATGGTTACTTGGAAGAAAGTATAATTTCAAAATATACTCGAAGAAAAAGTTAGCAGCTTCCTTTCTCTCATTTCACAAGATGATACAAGAGACAACCAAACATTTAGACAGTGTTTGCAAGAGGGGAAGTAAATGGGAGGAAATGGGATTGAAGTGACTCAACATGGGTAATTAGTGTTTGCCCTCATTGAGCCATTTCCAATTTATAATTCTCCAAATAATGCCTTACTGGAAAAACCAAATTACCTTCATTCAAACTGGTACCTCTCTCTTCTCACTAAACAATTCTTTACTAATCAAAAGGCAGCCCAGACTGACAGAAAGGAAAAAGTACCTGAAAATCCATTCCCTCATGGAGGTATGCTAAGCCTCGGGCAGCATCCTGGGCTATTTTCATCCGTGTAGTCCAAGGAAGAGTTGTTTCAAACCTGCTTAATAAATGATCTTGAACACTCCTGTTGGGCATATATTCATAGATCAGAAGCCGCTGGATCCCCCTTTCGTCATCCTCAGCACAGTAACCAATTAACTTAACAAGATTTGGATGCTCAACAATTCCTAAAACATTCACTTCAGTCACCCATTCTTTATGCCCCTGAGGAAAATATTTGAACATATATTAGCTACGTAAACAAAAAATAGAAGTATCTATAGACCAAGAGTAAGAGGTGACGTAAATTAAATTCATTTATATAAGAACAAAGTGCTATTATAAGCCAGAAATAGGACCTCAGAAGATTGAATTTACTGACAATATGCCATCGAAGTGGTAGTGATAAAGACTCATTTTTTAGGTTACCATATGCATCAAATTTATCTAATTTAATGGGTTCTGAATAGGCACCCTTGTTCAGATGATTTCTCGAGCCAAAGCATAAGTCTGATATAAAGGGTATGTTTGGAATAAACGAACTGTTTCTGTAGATTCTATCTTAAATTCACACTTCAAATGTAAGATAATGAAATTCTATTCCAAGCACAAAAATTCAACTCCATATAAAAATCAATGTTATGTGATTTAATGCAATGTCTGAGAATAGGAAGCATCCAAAAAATCTTTCAAGAACAAACTCGAAAAAGCTTGCCTGTAAACCTCTTCTACTAAGTTGTTTAACAGCAATATCTATTTTTTTATGAGGATCTTCTGTGCTTCGAATTACACCCCGATATACACCACCAAATCCACCTTCTCCAAGCATGAGGGAGCGACTGAAGTTCTTCGTTGCTGTCTTTAACTCTGAGAATGTGAAGATTCTGAGGTTGCTGTGTCTTCGAGATAAAACAGGAAATGTGTTCCTGTTGGAAGATTCTGTGCTCAAATCTGATACATTCTGAGAGTTAAACTCAGAACCAGATCTCCTTGTGTCATGATCCGTCGATGTAGAAGCAGAAGCAAAGGATCGGATGGAAGTATTTGTAATCTTTTGATCATCAGTTTTCTCCTTGGAAAAATAAAAGCACTTCATTTCCGCCAAAAAAAATATGCTCACTGCGGATAAAAGATCACATTAGGAATAATGCCATGGAATTTAAGGTCCTGATCAGCAATTAGTCAGTTGAAAACATCACTAAAAAGCAGTGATGACTGAAAGAACTATTGGCCAAATCAGAAAACACAATAAAGTCACCATTTTTAAAAAGCTTCAACTCATTGCATAGATTATCTTTAAGTTATGAAGGAATCCTCAAAATCATAGCCTATGCTTGTTTGTGTTTCGACATTTACCCAAAACCAGCATGTCTGTTGGGATACAAACAATAAATTCTACAACTCAACAACCAATAATTGAGTCTTCCACATAAACCCTTCTAAAATAGCAAATTTCCAAATTGAATACTCAAACAATTAGCCAAACAGCCAACAAAATGAACATAGAAGCAGAGATGAGAGAGTGAAAGGAGGATACCAAAATAAATCAGTAGGTGGGGGGGATTTCATACTCTCTTTCACCCACCAATTAAAAACAAAAAGGGAAAGCAAAACCAAAAACAAGAATTGACTCACCTCTTAGACCACATGAAACTGAAAAATTTCACAAAGTTTATGCAACTGGGTATTTGCGAGTTGTCATTTTGATGAAGCTGAAGCTAAACCCGGAAAGCCAAAAAAGGGGGGAGAAGGAGAAGAAGAGTGGCCAAAGAGAACACAACGAGCTCTCCATGATCTAAGGCAAGTCAATGCATGGCAGCCGGATTCTAGCTCACCCACCAAGAAACCCATTTAAATTATAATAATTTTTTTTAAAGGAGATTTTTTTGAGTGACTAAACACAAACCCCCAAAAGGCCAAAAGACGAAAGAGCGAGAAAAAAGAGGAGACGATGTGTGAACCAGACCAGGGAAGCGTTGGCTTTCGTCGTGAGTTGTGAAAGCGAATAGAGAGTTACTTTTCTT